TTTGGGGATTAGGAGTTTGAGGATCGTTGGGGATTCAGGAATTGGGGAGATTGGGGAAGGGTGAAATTGTGTTCGATACCTATATGGCAATAGGCTCATCGTATTTATTACTCTGGACTCCTAAACATTACTAGTGTTTAACCTGAGTAGAAGTTACATTTTACACCTCTATCTATCTACCTAGAATTAGTAAGCTTGATGTTACTTAAGGATGAACACTAAAATGAGGTCAAATAACAACTTTATGGCAATAGGATACTATGCTAGTTAATAAATTGCCAAGTCTGGATATTGTAACACTAGACGAGCTAAATCTAGACTGAAACTATAACTACGTTGGTGTTAGTCTGAATCTGTCTAGATTACTACTTGGTAAGTGGAATTCTGTTTTAATATTAGAAACGATTGGTTAATCTAGTAGTTGCAAGTTGCGACTGCTTCAATTTCTCGGATTCAATTTGAATGTCGGTCAATCGGGGTGGTCATCCAGGGCGGGTGGAGATATTGATTCCCCCTCAAATAAACAGTTTGGTCAAACTATTTTTCAGTTTTTTTTATACCACGACGGTGGCAAAAAATCCGCACGGCCCACCTGATGGTAAGAGGTTACCGTGGCCTACGAATGCCAGCAACACATGGGGTATTACGAACGCCAGCAACACATATGACATGCGCCTTGCCGACCCTTAATAAACCTTTAGTTTTTATTTTGAAAACATTGTACTTAATAACACAATGAGAAAATATAATAATATGTATGTCATGCTTTTGACAGTTAACCAACTTAACTTCAGTTCAATACGTTTCAAATTCTAAATAGACTCTACTACAGCTATCACCTCTTCAAACGCGACCCATTAGTGATGTTTATGTCCACTTCAAGTACACCTCTGCCTACTCCTCCCAGGGCTATAAACCACGATATTACATAAATAAATAATACTATAAACATACCACAATACATAGGCAGACGCGAATGAGGTCTGTTTAGACATGTTGCATTCCACCACGTAATCGACTTTCACTTTTGAAAAAATGTGTTCGTATTATCCGCGAGGCTAAATATTCTTGTATATACTATCTAATAGGCGATGATCTGTGTGTTGGTGATAAAAAAATAATGCATGGAAGTCTTGGGCATACATTGTATGACCCCGGAGTCGCGGAGAACCTAACGGGTTACCGGGGCTCCGGCTCGACGTGCAGGAGAAGGAACGGGGTGGTTTTTAGTGAATAAGAGTCTGACACTCCCTCCCGCCTCACCCAGGCGGGAGCAGTAATTCGATGATTTTCCCCCTTAAAAAAAAAAATTGTATGACCCCTTCGTGTTTCAAAAGGTCCAACAAGTGACATGTTATCACTATTAAGTATTATACGTATGTACATTTTTGTAATTTGTATAATGCGTCTAGTATGTCTTTGCATTGTTCTCACATCATTGTACAATATTGGATAATGTATCAGAGACATTGTAAAATAATATTTAAAAAAAAAGAGTAACGAATGGAATTTTTTACTTGTTCTTCTCCATTCGAATCTACATTTTGGAACGAGCACCTAGCTTCACTGACAGACGAATTGACAGACTATTATTTATTTTATATTTGTTTACGTTTCAAAGTAACAAATCATAGTTTAATTGCTTTGACTGTCCTATTTTTACCAGTTTTGATGCCTAACTGGAATTGTGCTTTTCATGGTGTACCTAACAAAGGCTAAGTTATCATTATTCGTATTTGGGAATATTTTGGGGCCTTACTAGATGGATATTTTTTTTAATTAAACGCGGGAGAATGATGATTTCGGTTATTAAGTTCTAGTTGATTTTAGTAACCGATTTTAATTCATCGATTAAAATCGATTTAAGGCATTCGTTTTTTGAGCTTTTTGATCCTTTCAAAAACTTGGATGATACAGATTTGGGATAAGATCGATTATTGATTTCGTCCCCAAGTCAATTATATCAGAAACCTGTCTCCGAAATTGACCTGGCTCACGTAAACAACATATTTCCAAGTAGGTCATAGATTCGCCCGTCTTTTATTTGTCGTGTTACGTAAGGATGCACGAACGCATTGCAGGAATCGCGACCTGCGCTTCGAAAATAAGCGTTCTAGGGAAGTGCTGTATGATATTTACTTGGTTAAAAATAGATTGTATTGATTTTTGTACCTACATCGTGAACCATTTTATGGGCTTGTATCTAAGATCTTCCTTTGTAAAATATGTATTATTGCAAATACGAATTTGAATTTGTCGAAAAGTATTTTTTATTATTTTGGCAGTCTTGACTTGTGAGTCTTTGATGAAGTAAGATTAGACAAATAGACTAAAGAAGGTTGAGAGTTAACTTATTGAAGACATATTTAAAAGAGGTAACTTTGTGTTAGACTTTTTTTGGATACAAACCACTTACAAGTATAAAGGTGCTCACGGGGAGCATTCGCGTGTAATGAACATTATAGATCTGAGCATTACATCAGTGAAGGAGGAGAACCGAGCATTACAGTGCGCACCTTGTAATGATACAATGTGTAATAATATCTTGATACAACTTGTAACATCAATGTCTGACATCTTGCTATGAAATGCTCAAAGTCGAATCTACATATAATGTTACATTACACGTGAATGCTCCCGGTGAGGGAGCACCTTAAAAGTTCATAGGTATCCTTAAAACTAAATGTTCAGAAGATAGATAACAGAGACAAACATACAGAATTGCAGAAGTAATCAGACAAATTTTACAGGTTCAAATTCCACGAAGACACCTCAGCCATTTTTATAGGTTAAATTTCCTTTACAATCGCAGTGACACAATTTTCAAACAATCTTATCTTGATTTCTTCAGTGTTTCTGTTGGTTTTACAGATAAATTTAAACGTTTGACCTGTTTCTTGTAAATTAAACTGCAATAAAAAATACTCCAATGCTGATTATGTTTGATATTCATTGACAGAGTTATTACTGGTTTTGTATTTGTCTTTTTCTGCCATAATTTTTTATTATCTTTTAGGTTTTAAAAATGGCGGTGTATCAAGGCCTGAATTGTATCCAAATGCAATGTTAAAAATACTGTAAGATAAAAAAAAATGTGTACCTAAATAAATCAAATTTATTAATTTAGTATTTTAGCTCGTAAGTTACAAAGATTACAAAAAACAATAAATATTTTTCTCTAAAGTAAACTGGAAGTGCTCACGTATATACATACATTTAACGATAACAACACTGTTGCTACTCCATAATTTCTAATTCTTAGTCAGCGTTTGCACGAACGAACAATAGCCTTTACGATACCAAGTTAAATGGCGCCATTGTTTAGCTGCACATATCGCACCACAGATTAAAAATACGATTGTCAATGACAAGGCCTTCTGAGTAAAAGGCGCGAATGGCGCGAAAAAGTGACACCTTGTCTTTTCATTTTATTATTGTCATGATAAAGTATAATTATTTACTTTGTACCGTTTCATTATTATAATTAATGACTACAAATCCCAAGTACCTAGGTAATTGTTGTACTTTTTGCGCTTTGTCTACTGAACCAATCTTCTTAAAGACACATAATTTATTTGTTACTTGGAAATACGGAAAAGGACATCACATCAACACCATTGCTGACCAAAGACCTCTTCTCGCACGGAGAAGGTTTGAGCATTAATTACCACGCTTTCTCAATGCGATTTTAAATGTATGATTAGAAACTATAAGCCCAGATTTCCTCACAATGTTCTCCTTCACTGTTTGTCAGTAATTCGTCAGTACCTACTTTTAAAATAATGATCTGTTACCGTCACTTGGAGTCGAGAATAGTAGATATCCAGACCTTCTCGACTCCATATTTTAGGCAGACAAAATGTCTCCCTAGACGACCTAGTCTAGAATCACGAAGTTGAGGGTGTTTCACCTCTGAACCTCGGTTTGCAGTGATGGCACGTACGATCCCCGTTCTATGAATATTAATGATAAAACAATCTGTAGTTTGACAATAAATCTAATCATTCATGTTGTATCATTTTTAGTGGCATGTATGTGGCAATAGATTTTTTCTTATTCTTACCATTTTACTAGAATCATAACACAGCTATTTTTAATCAGTTAAATATGAACGTTGAAGACCTAGTAACTTGTTTTATAGGTATAGAAATAGAAACTATATATTTTAAGTTCTAACGTTATACGACTTTATTTACTAAAATACTTAACGAAAAAATTAACAAATGCACCAGTCGCCCCTATAATTTTTAAAAGTTCCCCTCAGTTTCCCTGGGATTCCATCATCAGATCCTGACTTCATGACAATGGGATCAATTGACAAGCCTACCCTTTCTAATAAAAATCGGTTGAATTGAAATCGGTCCAGGCATCTTCGAGTAATCGAGTAACAAACATAAAGTTTAATTGAGAACCTCCTTTTTTTGAAGTCGGTTGAAAATACGACCTTAAGGCCAATATACAGCAAAGTGAAGCAATATTGCTGACTCAGCAAACGTTGAAAAATTAATACAGTCAGTTTCAAAACAGGTGTTGTGTAAAATACAACACATGCGAGGAATTTCTGGCGTGGGATTACTCGGGGGCACGCTTGTTATATATTAATTAATCTAATGACTTTCGAAGTAAGAGTTACTTCATGTACCACATTCACAATGACATTTTGATACGAATTAACCAACCCGATATAAATCTACAAGACTTTTCTTGTGAATCAGAGAAACTGAGATATTCAGTAGTTTTGTAAAATTGATAATATTATTTAGTTTTCATTGAACTCAAAAGTCAAAAGTCAAAATCATTTATTTCAATTAGGCCAGAATGGCACTTTTGAACGTCAAAAAAAAAATTAAAATTGAAGCTATTTGCTCATTCCAAAGTGTAGATTCCTATGGAGAAGAACGAGCAAGAAACTCCATAGGAACTATTTAGACTACTCTTGTGTATCGATTGATGAATAATAATATATTCCAAAACTAAACATAATATTTCTCTTGTTACAGGACCTCATTCCAGCCCAGGAGACGGAATCCTACCTCCAAAAGACACAAAATGCCATCACAAATCTACAAGCAAAGCTTCAGTCTTCAAGGACGAACAATTTCAGCAGCATTCCCTCAGCACTCACCTCCAGTCTCATCAGCGAGAAGACCGCTATCTCTCGCCTCCCGATCTCACAGCTCAGCCGTTCTAATTCACTCAACTACCGTCTTAGAAGAAAAGACCACTCAAATGACAGCAGTCCTTTAAGAAGTCCTGGTCATTACGTCATCACTGGGTCTACAAAAGTCCCCGAAAGCACGAAGATATTACTAAATTCTGCGTCAAGGTCTTTAGACACGGATAGAAGACATGATTTGAATATGAACAGTCCGTCGTCCGACCGAGGGTTATTAAGTAACAGCTCTGACGACAAAACACTGTCAAACAGACCACCGTATGATGTAGAAGCTATATTGTCTCCTCACAGGAAGACACACTCGCGGAACAGGACATTCGAAAGTCAAACACACGATGTTAGCAACGCGAACCCTACCGTATGTCTTAAGACTGTCTTAAAAAACAATGCCTTGGATTCAAAGTACCCCCGTATCGAACCAACACGTTGTCAAGGAGACAAGAAATGCCACCAGAGAGTATTAAGCGATGGTCTCAAATACAAACCGAATAACATCGGCTTCAGTTCATCGATTAAAAGATCGAGTTCATTCAATACAGTAAACAAGAACAATAATTATATCGATCCTAGAATTACATCTAGAAGATCGAGTGGCCATTCGGAAGAATATAAAGATTATTCGGATGAATCTGATAACGGATCTTATGATAAATCGCAAGAATGTAGATACAAGAGACAAGTAATAAACAGAGGTAGAATCGATTCACCAGATCTCAAATCGATAGCGCCAGCCAACTCGCCAAGAAGATGTCCAAATACACCAGAAATGCATAGGAAATTCGGACCAGGATTGGTGCGCAATTCTGTGAGAGTAACCAATAAGGAGCGCTTGAGTCCTAGAGTGTCTGAACAGCCAATCGTGAGAGAAGAGAGAGTTAAACCGACCAATCATCAAAGCAGGAGGTCAGCGGAACCAAGACAGACAACGTTGGCTAGACTGACTAAATCTAGGTCTTCGACGCGGGAAGTTCAACCTAAACATCTAGATAAAGGTTAGTGCTTTTGTCTGAATCTAGGTTACGATTGCTTGATGACAATGATCGATTGGACAAGACTGTTGTCGATTTGAAAGTTGCGTGACGACCACAGAATAAATAGACGTAATTTAATTTAAAATCAAAACAGTACCTTCCCTTTGTGTCGATGAGGTAAACAATGTCTTATATTCCGGCAGTTTTTTTATTAACTTATTCACTTCAAACTATTTTTCTTGTACTTGAGTAAACATTCTTGTCAAAATCTAGTTTTAGTAAGCAATTACTTAATAATTAATCCAAAATGGAGGCTCATTAAATTCCAAGACAGTAACATTGCTTAACATCCTGCTAATGCCCTTTACACAATGGCTCACTACAAATTACATTTGCCCTTTACACAGCAGATAAAGGAAACGAAATCAAAGGAGGTTCATTACAAAACCTTCACTGAATAATTTCACAAGAGAGAATAACAATTGATAATTTCTATTTAACACACATACCGTTACTAATAGAGAATCGAGTTATCCTTGAATTGAGTCTATTAGGTTGTGGTAGTTACCGATTCGTCATACTTGCAACACGCCGGCGGCCATCATGAATCGGAATGCGATTTGGCGCCAAATTACATTTTGATTTTGACAGATTGATTTTTTAAGGCGTGATTTTAATTTTTTTATTTTATTGATGAGTTTTACTTTCATTTTATATTAGTTACGACTTACGATGATTTCTCTTACCTTACCTTTCCTTATGTATTCTAATTGAAGAAACCTTAGCTATATCTTTAAACGACTTCAAAAAATGAGGTTCGCCGTTTTGATGTATGTATGGTATGTTTGTGCATGATTATCTGAACCGATTTCGATACGGTTTTCAGAAAAGTGTTAGTTCTTTGCAGTTAGGAGAAGGTTTTATAGTGTATTAAATAACCAACTTAAGAAAGGTGTTTAAATCGTTTTTTTTAAACGTAGTTTATACAAGAATTATTATTTTGTAATTTGTATTGCCATATAAAAACATTGTCTTTAAATTTTATTTCACCATTATTATATAAAATCCAATATTTAAATAGTAAACAAAACCAATATATGAGATATAGATCCTATTAGCTACAGTGAAAGAATGCTAGTAAAAACACGACGCAAATTGCCAATAGGCTGTACATGCGTATACCATAGCCATTACTTGATAACCATAACGAATTGATGGTATTGTCGATTACATCACTATTGTAATCGATAAAAACTCGATAATACTCGAATGACACACTGTATAGAGTCGTTTATTCGATTTGTTCCGATCAAATTTTTCTTGTAAATGTGATTTAAAATTACTGCCTCTTTAGAGTTTTGTTATGAATTTATAATCGTTGCGTTGGAATCTGGACAAATTTAAGATACTATACCTGATTATGCCTTTAAATGTAATCAGTGCTTGACACGGGAGAACTTATTGCGTACAAGCACAATACCAAAATCAATATTTTGCCCAACTAGGAATATAGAACACTGGAATCGCATTCGCATCCTTTTGACCCAAGAGAGACATTTCTCAATTTCTCCTTCTATATTTCCAGGTCAAAAGAAACCAAGCCAGCACCGTTCATCATCAGCTCTAGCCACAAAGGAGATCGAGTTCTCCAACTGGAAGAAGCGAGCGTCCTACGATCCTATGAAGGCGGCTCAGGAAGACAAGAGAAGGAAGCAACTGGCAAAACGTCAGGATTGCAACAAAGATGATCTGAGCTCGCCCAGGTAACAATCCCCAAATCCAAAAGAAAAGATTTGTTTTTGTTCTCCCCTTATAATATCTTCTGATCTATTTCATTGTGGGAGCCAAGACAGTTATTCGTGTCCCTGAGACGCGCTGGACTTTAGTGCTCCGATGTTTCATGGTTGTATCTACTTTAAATCCTGGCTAAGAGGAGTTGCAGCGGTTTTGGGAGGATGTGGCGAGCTTGTCCCATAAAAAAAGAATCCAAAATCCCCTAATCTTTCCATCCCAATTCCTCCAAAAGATAGGCAATGCGCTTGTAGCTCCTATGGTACCTAGCGTGGGTGTCTATAGGTGGCCCGGATTACTTACCATCAGGTGATCCGTCTGCCTGCTTTTTGCTCGACCTATTCCGTTAAAAAAAAGCTTTACGCTCGCGGCTTTAGCTTCATCCGTGTAGAATTTTAAGATTTCTCTCGAGTAAGTTCCGATTCCTTCGGAAACTTGGTTCAAATTTAGCCTATGACTATCTCGTGGACGGCTAGAAAGATTTTGAAATCGTTAATTCGATACGCTCCGTTAGCTAACTTCATCAGTCAACTCTCCTATTTTATGTCACGTTTATAATGTGAGCAAGTTTTTTTTAGAATTTAGTAGAAACATCAAGTTTTTACTTACATACCTCAATGTTACGATAAAATAAAAATATGTTTGGCGAAAAAGATGTTCCCTAATATCTGTAAAAGGACAATCCTTCGGTTCCGGAGGTAATAAATTTGTAATCACTTCCTGACTGTGCCAGTAACTATGAGCAATTCCTAACTTATTTCCCGAAAGTTCTGCATTATTTTTCGCGTGCACACTTTTCCTATGCTAAGTAGAACTAGTCACGCCATCTGTTGGTTTTATCATCGAACTACTGAAGGCCAATCTAATAACAATTAATTTCACTTCCAGCCATTCGTCTCCAGTCCACCGCTCACAGTCGTTCCACACCAACAATATCGCAGATCTAGAAACCCTTGACTACTCCTCAGAGGAAACAGAAGATGATCAGATGCTGGTCACTTTACCCGTGGATCCAATGGTCACGTCCACTCATTCAGATATCCTGGATTTGAGGCCTAAAGACTATGGGAATCTGAGGAGACAAGCCATGACTAATGACGTGGTTCTGTCCAGAGATTATGTTACTAGTTTTCAGGTGAGTCGAAAATTATATAATTTCTTACTCCTGTCTTAGTTTTTATAAATTTCGAGTAGAAATATTTTAGTGATGCCTTATGACTGCTTCGTTGGCCGAGTGATCGCAAGTGCGACTCGGGCAAGGGGTCTCGGGTTCGATTCCCGGGTCGGGCAAAGTATTACTGGGTTTTTAAAAAATTCTCAGTAGTAGCACGGAGTCTGGAATTGTGCCAGGTACCGTCACCCCCTATTACATGGGACTCATAACATAAATAGTGAAAATTGGGTGTTACATTGTACAGTGGTATAATGTGCACATCTGCCTCCCCCTTCGGGGATAAAGGGCGTGATGTTATGTTAAATATTTTAGTTTGCTACATTTTTAGATAAAATATTCGCGAAAAGAAAATGTTATAAATTGTAAAATCTTTAATTGTCTGTGTAAATTACATTTACAGATCAACCAATCAGCGCACGACAAAAAACGGCGGGAAGCCCGCGAGGCAGATAAAAGAAAAACCTTCATCATAGACGATATAACTCCTACCAAAGAGAACATAGACTTCTTGACGAAGACAAGAGAGGATTCAGCCACAGATAAGCGCAAAACTTTTATTCTCGACAGTGATACTAATTCTACAACGAATGGTAGTAGTCCGCGGAATTCTTCAATATTTAGTAATGAAAAGAATTCTTTGACTACGGGCACTAGTGATACGGAGGGAGAGAGCGGAACTGAAAGCGCTCCTGTAGTGATGAGGCATCAAGGAGGGAAAAGAAGTGCGCCTGTGCAGGCTAAACAGAGGTGAGTGGACGTAAATATAGTTTTTGTATTTGCAAGATTAGTTAACAATTTCCCTTTCAAAAAAGCGAATCCAAAAATTTTATGCCAACTTATTATTTTTTGAAGATGGTACCGACGTATGGCGCAGGTCAATCTGCGTCAATCTATAATTTTCGACTTTATTATATCATAACAATAAAGTTGAAAATCTAATAACGAGACTTACACAAGTAGATTATCTTGCAGGCCACAACGTATAGTACTTTGAAAAACCGTTGTAATGTTTTAGTCTCCTCTGACTTCCAGGTACAGCGGTGACTACTCAATGTCATCGTCAACGACCTCGATCAGCCAACGGAAGCCGACAGTCCAGCCCCGGTACCTGGACATCTCCAAGTACAAGAATGAACAGTCCCCGAAGAACTTCCTCCGACGGGACCCTAGTAAGACTTACGTAGGGGTGCTGAACAACGACAAGGCTGTCAGCAAGGGGAGCGCTCAGCATTATGAAATGGGTAAGTTACGTTATTTAAAAAAAAAAAAAAAATTAAGAGGGGAAAATCATCCAATCACTGCTACCGCCTGGATGAGGCGGGCGGAAGTGAACAGACTCTTACTTTTTTTTATGACATAAGCCGGTAAACGAGCAGACGGTTCACCTGATGGTAAGCAATCGGCGTCGCCCATGGACACCTGGAACACCAGAGGCGTTACAAGTATGTTACTGGCCTTTTAGGGATTAGGAGTTTGAGGATCGTTGGGATTAAGGAATTGGGGAGATTGGGGAAGGGGAAGGTAATTGGGCTTCCGGTAACCTCACTCACACGACGAAACACAACGCAAGCGTTGCTTCACGTCGGTTTTCTGCTCGGCCGTGGTATCACTCCGGTCGAGCCGGCCCATTCGTGCCGAAGCATGGCTCTCCCACACTTAAAACTTTCGTGCTATAAAATAGATATATCGAAATCAAAAATCGGTTTTATTGTACCTGACGGATATATTATTATAATCACATCCCAATGTTATTGAGAGGTGTAGATTCGAAGATAAAGCAAACAGTAGAGTTACGATTTTCTATTTACACAGATGCAGTTTTAGAGGACGTTACGTCAGAGTTATTATCTCTCCAAGTTCACTTGTCTGTGATGTGTCTGTGGTGTCTACCACAGAACATATAAAGGAGGATAGAACGGCCTTGTGGGCGGTACACGCGTGCCGCGGTTATGAGCAAATGCTCCAAATCTACCAAAATGTCAAAAACCGGCCATCAAACGCAATGTTGTTGTGACAGCGTACGAAACTCCGCAAATAATATTAAATTATGCCGTCTTGGACTATTGTAATGTGTCGGAAAAGAAGACAGGTGTGCAATGTAGCACGAGAAGGGATTTCTTTCCACCAGTGACTTCAAAAACATTAATATACTTGTGATATTTGTAATTATAACATTAATATTATGACGTTTCTAGACAAAAACGACATTATCGCAAGCAGTATACATTGCTTGCAATAGATACGTACCGTTTTGCACTACATAAACGATCGCGCAATGTATTACGTTCACAACGAGAGTCCCGAGTATCAAATCAAAACGTCATTTCCTCGAATCGATATAGAGAAGTGTCAATTTGTAAACAATGTCGATAATTACTATGATACAAAGGATTATTATCAAATTATACACATTATAACTAAAATAATTTTATTTATTACGACTAATTATGAAATAGGTTTTAAGTGAGGCATTTTATTCGTATTTCAGTTTTATATATTTTTTTATGTATTCGTTATGTTTTGTTCAGTAAGTAGACTGATTTTATGATTTAGGAAATTTTGTTTTACATTTCTACCTTGATATCATCTAAGGGACATCTAAATCATTTTTCGTAAGATGGATACTCTTTCATACATGCTTAGGCCCAAATTGTAAATAGTTGAAACTATGAGAAATTCTTAAAAGCCAGCCGAAATTTTAGTCAATAATTTAAAATAGTTGTTGAGGTTTTCTATTCGAGAACAAAGCTATGACAACAAATAAGATGACATTATATCCTGGGAGCGATTGTATTGTACCTTTTTTAAGAATAGCTATGTACACTTGATGACTTTTCTAGTTTTCAGAGCTTTTAGAGCTGACTTAATTTACGTGAGCTAAATATTGTGTTGGCCTGGAGGTTGCGGCGCTGTTTCATACAACTTATACGTACTTTCTAAGTTAATTTGCACACCACTCACATTCAGTAAAGGAAATTATGTAACCGAAACTATATAATAATTCCTATTTATATTAACTATTAAAGAAATACGAACGACGATTATCGGTTGTCATCATACGAATGTCATGATGATATCTAACAGAGACAATAACAGAGTTTTGAGCACAGATTAGATATATCATGATATGGTTACGTTATGATAATTCTCAATATTTCATTATTTTATGATTTTTCATTCCTTAGGGAGAAATTAAGCTATTTTTTATATATTTTGAATTAAGTAAAAATCTATTATTTTTGACCCCATGACTTCCCAGACTCCTTTTATTTTTATAAAACTTACAGTTGAAAACAAAACAAAATCGAAATAATACCTTTTCGGGTTTTTATACTTTTTTGATTACTACCAATCAACAATTTACTTATAACTATATTCCATGTCAAATTATTTTAATGTTAATAATGTAATTGATTTTAAAAATCAGTTATGTATTTTTCTATGTATAGTTATTTACATTAACGTAAATACATGTGCACAATATGCCTTATACAAATCCGCATAGTCCGCAATACATGTAAATTAAGAAGCTAGATGCCATTAATTTTATCGATATCAATAATCGACCTTTCGCTCCCCCTACCATATATGAGTTTTTTACGCCTGTATTAGTGTATGTCAAACGAAGTGATTGCGTCAGTGTGACGACCAATAACAAATCTTTTAACCTAGTGCGTGTTGTTTATTTGTGTGCATTTTCCGCGTAGGTATTGGTCTTTTGCTTGTAGTAAAGTTAAAGAGTGGGGGACAAACGGCGACGCGTGTTCTAATACAAATCAGGAACTATTTCCTTTCTAGCCTTCTTTATATGTTCTGTGGTGTCTACAGCTGAGACAGTATTTTTTTTATTATATCAAATCCTTACCTACCTCAGTTTGTTCCACTTTCACGCCGTAACTTCTAAACTGATTGCTTTGAATTTTTGCAGGCGTAAAATAGGGTACTTTATAACCCGGAAAATTTTGATATTCCCGACGGAAAACAAAAGAATTGGTATAGATGGCACTGTGTGTATTGGTATATGTCACATAGGCTAGTTTTATCCTTTTGTGACGCGAGCGAAGCCGCAGGTAATAGCTAGTAATTTATAATGTTACAGAACAAAAGAAACAAGAATTAGAGAAGTGGAAACGAAGGGCATCGTACGACCCGAGGAAGGCGGCTGCACTCGGAAAGTCGAATAAGACGCCGTCAAAGACCGCTAGGTAAGTCCACATTCACTAACACTTTACAATAGACTTTATGGGTAGCCATATACAAAAAAAATCGGTATTCTTTAATAATAATTGGTTATTCTGTCGATGTTATAATCCATAACTTTTTAATATGGGCCAAGGGGATATTCGGGGCGTACTAATGCAACAAGCAAATAGGTATTTTACTGAATATAAAATATACATGTTTAACATATTTTTTTGTTTGCCGTATATTATTGTTATAACATTTTTGGTTTCCTTTTAGTTGTAAATATTCTTTTAACATTTCATTTCTTTTAACTTAAGGTAAATTAGTTTAAGTATAAGATTAAAACATAATTTGTTGTAAATTTTAGAGCGTGACAAATCTCAAAATGCATGCAATTCCGTGTAAGTGACATGCTGGCCGCCATCTTGACGTGTAAGGTTAGTCCAATGTCAAAGTGACAGCTGTGGCGACCGCGGGATTTTGGAATTGACAGCTGTCAAACTTTATTGGCACTATGGGTGTATTTATTTTTAAATTTCGCTTCGAGTGCTTTACACGACTATGCCGCTGGAATTCTTGGTTTTTCATGTACGTGTTCAAGCTAATTTGTATTTTTTTTCTTTACTATGTATAATATGTATGGTATTGTATTGAAAAATCAAGATGATTGCTTGTCTTATGCTTCGTTTACACTTTATTGGTAAAAAAACTAATTTAATCGTTTCTATTGGCTGGCTAGAGCTATAGGAATTTGGTGCAGATGTAAATAATGCAGATTTTATGTCAATTTTTAACGCTTCTTAAATGTTATACTGGGTTACTTCACTACCTTAGTATTTTTTTATTTATTTTCCTTTCTCGGTGTTAATATGTCAGCTAGACTAACCATAAAATAATAAAGCACATACAAATTAACAATTATGTGTGAATTAGAACCGACCCCTTAATTTAAGGCTTATGTTTAATGGCTAAAATAAATTAGTCTCAAATATTCCATAATATGAAATACATAAGTCACTCAAGCACTTATGCAATTAGAATAAAAAACATTGACAAAATTAGTATAAGACACATCGACACATAAAATAAAACTCAATGACATGATTGCCTGTTTTTTTGACAGGTGTCAAATTTGACACATAAAAATAATAATCATGTTTTTCTCTCAACAGTAGCGTACTTCGCTCACAATCCTTCCATGGTCCCGTTACGGCGTACACAGGGCTTCGCCCCCCGCCCCCGGACCAGATCTGCGAGACGTATGACGCTTCTAGTGACAACGACTTCTAAAACGACACTGTCGACTTCGATATGTGATAGGCCGCGTTTGTATTTGCTAGACTAGTCTGTGACATTTGTATTCGCTAAAAACTTAAAATAAATTGTCAGTATACAATTTGCCGAACACCATAATTTATAACACCAGCAGAAAAGAACAAATCTACATTACTTATTACTAAAAAATATACCCAAAATTAAATTTAAACATATCTCAAATCCGCCCAAACTATAACAACACTTAAATGTAAGATTCTATCAATATATTGTCTAGTCGTCTATTCCTACAATCTTGACTTAAACAAACCTAACCAAGTTTGGAATATTCTCCAAGAATGTTCTATTTATTTATCGAATAGGGTTTCATAACAAATTGTATATTGCCAATATTTAAAAAAAAGTTCTGTCGAAATGATCTCTCATTTGTTTTTCGACTGATATTACCGGTTTTCTAGCGAATTCAAATGAGGAATACGGCGCAGTGTGTTCAATACTAATTGTTAGAGTTAAGAGTTGGTCGTCGATACAAAATTACATATTTCTGTATACTTTGGCTCGACACAAACTGGTTAGAAGCGGTTAGTAATGGTTTTTTGCAATGAAACGCATAATATGCTGTAATTCCTTGTGTGTTTGTATTTAAACGCGGTAAAACTTCATTTCGAACAAGTCTTTGTATTATTTATTTAATATTTAAAGTGAAAAATTATAAAAAAATTATGTTACTATTTCATTTGTTGAGAGCGAGTCTTGTTTGGTATAAAATGTTCTTGCATGTCCATTCCTGATTGGAAATCTTGAAATATAATGAAAAGTACATAATTTTATTTTATTGATTGTGTTAATAATTCATTGTTAAAGCGGTATTGTAACATCAAATAGGCGTTTCTGTATTTGGGGAATGTTGTAACTGTAAAATTATTTAACTTATAGAAATGAAATATTAAATTAATTAAATCAAAACAAAAAATTAGCAAAAATCTTATAATAGAATAGACTAGAAATTTTCATTGTCTCAATTTTAAAAAGCAGCTGATTTGAATAGCTTCGATTCTTAAAAAATATGAAATTGTATATTTTCCCGTAAATGATATATTTGATTTTAAATATTCGTCACAGCGACGACGCCTCACGCCATTACGTAGTTTTCCCGCCAAATACAGAACAATGAAATAACTAAGCCTATTCGAATGATTTATGAAATTGAAGTCATAATTTTTAATCATTTGACGATTATTATGAAAATGTTAATTATTTGGGAGCGATGCAATTTTTTTATAATATATATAAGTTATTCCGCACAAAACGAAATTCCTTTGATTTCATGAAAATGCATCGTCTTGAATTTAATTTTTATTTTTATACTGAAAGTACTTCATATCTTTTTTGTTTTGTAAAATATAATTTTCTCGTATATTTAAGGTCGTTAATTAAGAAAACATATTAAATAATAATAATTAAATGTGATTTATTAATAATGCCTACGTTATCTTTAGGATTGGCTATTATTATTTCCCACTAAAAGTGTATGAGATTAGTATTGTTTTTTTTCTATTATTGTCCGTCTTAGATGAACGTAGATTAAATTCTCGCTAATGTAATAAATAAATATCCCTTTATATTGCTCATATCATTCATACATCGATGTATTTTAGAAATATGTGTAACCTCTTTTTAGTTATTAGTATTTTTCTTATAGTGCAATACCATCACATTGATAAAAAACTTTCTTTAAAAAAATATGAACAAATGTTTTCGTTTATATTTTTGTAAAATTTCGGTATTACAATGTATTATTTCGGTATACTCAATTTTTATGTATAAAGAATTATTTTTGCGTGATTTTTTTCTAAGCTAAATAAAAAATGACAGTATTTTTTGCAATTTTTTTCTAACGTGTAGATTGCTGTGGAAATATTTATAGACCTGCTGTTGTATTATTGGTTTAGACCTGCCAGGCTTGACTCTGCACTGAAAGCTAAATGCAAAATACTTATATCTTCAAATTACATAAAATAATAGGACACGCTTTTCCTTTAAAATATTACTATTAAACTTAATAAATTAAATCAATGAAATCTTGTGAGTTTCTAGTTATTTTCTCCAATAGAAACATATTATTTTCTTTTCATTACATTTTAGTAACATAATAATATTTTAAAGTGAAAAGAATATCTAGATCATAACTCAAAAGTCTGCTAATATTTTTAACTAAACTTATAAGGATTTAAATTCACGATATCATCATGAAAAAATAAAACGCCATCATTTGACAGTTCTGGACGAAAATCAAGATGGCGGACTTTTTTGTGGAAATATTGCGAATTTATTTATCTCAATTTTGAGTAGTGATTTTACTATTTATTTAATTAGTAGTAAGCCTGGCTTTGTTTCAATGAGCGCATTACTGTACCATAGACGCTGCAAGCGTTAAATATTTGTAAAACATAATTGATGTTTAGAGTTTTGTAAAAATATTATTTAAATAGGAAAGAAATAAAAAGAACGTTTAAAATAAATGGTGTCGTTTCATTTGTTTTTGGTACTATAATGTAATATACACAGGGTGACTTGTAACTCGACGTATTCCTCTTGGGAGGTGATAATACAACTAATTTTCTACAAAAATAGTCCTGAGGTGAATGTCACAGAGATAAAGAAGCGTGTGCGGGATTCATCATAGGGAAGGTCACTTGAAACAAAATTTAATAAATGATAATGTTTTTGAAATTGCCCGTTTTCCTTTACACTCTACTTATATGTCGCGGAGAACCTAACGGGTAACCGGGGCTCCGGCTCGACGTGCAGGAGAAGGAACGGGGTGGTTTTTAGTCAGTAAGAGTCTGACACTCCCTCCCGCCTCACCCAGGCGGGAGTAGTCATTCGATGATTTTCCCCCCTTAAAAAAAAAACACTACTTATCATCAAGTTATTAATTTGTTTTTGACAATATGATAAATAATTTAATGTTTTTGGGTAGCTAATAAATGAAGGAAGATTTTCTAATAGTTCTAGTAGTCCTAACAGCATTCTGAGATCATTAAGGTGTGTCCAAACATGGCGTGCAAGGTGCGCGGCAGTTCAGTCCGAGACACGCCCCACTTATTATTTCGTATTCAAACCACAATGAAAGCGGCTCCGTGTTTTGTAGCTCTGCTTCGACCTCATACTGCACCGCAGACGGTCTCCAAGCTACATGTTCGTGCGCGGCAATAGTCCAATCACAGGGTTGCAAGCCGTGCGCGGTAGTCGCGCTCGATTGCCGCTCGATGTTTGGACACACCTTTATAAAATTTAACACGCAGGGCAGCCGTAGACTCGCCGCGTGTAAGACACCCACAGGCCGCTCGTGTAAACCGATTGACAGTACGCCTTGAACAGGGTCATTTTGACATCATTGGTACAATGAGCAAACCTGCGGATGAGCATATTGCTTCTCAGTGAGAAGGGATCAGAGAGCAGGACATTGTCTGTGCCTGTTCTCACAGACAATGTCCTGCTCAGTCTTTATATCTCTGTCGTCCCTTAAGTCACTTGTGACAATAAGACCCAAGTACTTAAAACTATTAACAATGTTCAAAGTTACACCGTTGAGGCTTATTGGTGGAACATTCCGCGGCAGCTGATTTGGCGCTTTAATTAAATATGAGGATGGATTTAAAGCGAACTTGTCACTTTGTTTCAAATCTAAACTCATATTTTGATAACGACGCTAAGATTAAAAATATAAAAGGTCATAAGCGCCACTAAAGTCAAAGTCAAAGCATTTATTTCAATTAAACTGTCAAACACCAAGCGGTCCCCGGTGACCGCAACCTATTGTTCTATAATTGTGTCTACAAAACCGGTACTCGACGAGTTAAACCATAATTTGATACTTTTGAAACGTTAACAAATACAAAATAAATAATAGTCTGTCAGTCAGTCCGTCAGTGAAGCTAGGTGAAGCTAGGTGCTCATTCCAAAATGTAGATTCGAATGCAGAAGAACGAGCAAGAAGCTCCATTCGTTACTCTTTTAAAAAAAAGTAGGTATGTTCTACAATGTCTCTTATACATATTCCAATACTGTACGTATATGTGAGAACAATGCAAAGACACGCTTGTCGCATTATAGGTACTAATTACAAACCTTACTAAAATTATAAAAATAAAAAAAATCTTATAGTCTAACATGGTGCTCACATAATTATGCATACTGACAATCCATATAAATAGTGCTTCTATACAAGAAAAAGGAAACTCTTTGTTCCAATAAAGAAAGAAATGCTCGATGCCATAAGGAAACTAGATTGTCTACATTAGAATTAAAGTATTAAATTATGTAGGTATTATATTACCACATATTGGAATTTAACTACTGACTACATTTGAGTAGGTATTGTCCAGTGGAGCCGAACCAACATGCTGCCTAGCATTCTTATCTTCAAGATAATCAGTCAGTGTATAGTAAGCTTGATTACATAATAATAATATTGCTATGCAAAAGTGTTTTGACTTTGGAAGTCCACTTCTGTCTGTGAATGTACACTTGTGAACACAATACTGACAAGTGACAAAAATCAAATGCGATTGTTAACTAAAAGGCAGTATGTATAAATAACTAGCTACTTCCGCGCGGTTTCACTCGCTCTGCTCGGCGCCTATTAATCGTAGCATGGGCTATCTAACACAGAAATAATTTTTCAAATCGGACCAGTAGTTTCGGAGATTAGCGCGTCCAAACAAATAAACAAACTCTTGGTCTCTCTTCATAATATTAGTATAGTATAGATAACAAAGGTCATCCTTCAAGATACTTAAATAAAAAATAATAAACAATAAAAATTTTGAATTTTTTGACTCATCAATTGCTACTGTAGAGTATATTTATATTAAAAATAAATAAAAGTATGTACCTACTGAGCCTGAAAGAAACGAATTAAATGTCGATGAATGAGCTTAGACCTTTTTTGATATCAATATTTATTATTTTTTTATATTGCATAAGCCTGTAAATGAGCAGACGGATCACCTGATGGTAAGCAATCGGCGCTGCCCATGGACACTCGAAACACCAAGGTGTTACAAGTGCTTTTGGGAATTGGAATTTGAGGATTGTGGAGGATTTGGGGATTCGGGAGAGGGGGACTAGGGAGTGGGGTAATTGGGCCTCCGGTAACCTCACTCACACGAAACACAACGCAAGCGTTGTTTCACGTCGGTTTTATTCGATAGTTAGTAACCTATAAAAGATTTATCCTGACAGAAAATTTAAACAATATCTTCTTTTGCTCGACCGAAACTGCCGCTTTCCGTCTTTGTCAAGCAATAAAATAGCAAACACTCCACGGGGGAAGTAAATGGGAATGCCTCGAATAACATGTTTATAGACATGAGACCTGAGGCATTTCTTATTTTACTTCCCTACTACATGAGTACATCTTATACTCTTATACTCTTTTACTATTATATAAAGCTGAAGAGTTTGTTTTTTTGTTTGTTTGTTTGAACGCGCTAATCTCCATAACTACAAGTCTGATGTGAATAATTCTTTTTGTGTTGGATAGCGCATTTATCGAGGATGGCTATAGGCTATGAAACATCACGCTATGACCAATAGGAGCTGAGCAGAGTGTATGAAACTGCGCGGAAGCAGCTAGTCTACTATATAAAAATAAGTCGGGTTTTCCTTCCTGACGCTATAACTCCAGAACGCACGAACCGATTTCCACGGTTTTGCATTCGTTGGAAAGGACTCGGGCTCCGTGAGGTTTATAACATACATAAAAATTTTTTTTTTTTCATCTGTTAGAATGTTTCTTTTTAAACGATTGAACATATCTTTCTGCCTGCCCATTAGTAGAAGGATGAAATGGTGCAGTAAATTTAGCTTGAATACCATTTTCTCTCCAAGTAAAGTTTTTGTAAGTCAGGGTCTTTCATTGTAGCCTTGCTAATTTCTTGTAGTGTTATTGGCATTTCTGATATTTGGTTTAAGTAGAATGCGTCATCATCGGTAAGGTTGTTTTTATTTACTTCCTTTGTACTTGCTTGTCGTGACAGGTAGTCCGCGTTCGCATGTTCTGTTGTTTTCCTGTATATAATAGTATAGTCAAAGCCTGCTATGAAGTTTGCATAATGTACAAGTCTTATAGCTGTAGTTGCTGGTGTAGCTTTTTCAGGATGTAGGATTCTTGCCAATGGTTGGTTGTCAATAATTATTGTTATTTTCCTTCCATAACAGAACTGAAAAAAATTCTTTAATCCCCATATTAGTGCTGCCGCTTCTTTATCGAGTTGGCTATAGCCCTTTTCAGCTTTGGTTAGGGATCTTGAGGCAAACGCTATGGGTCTTTCAGACTTGTCCGGCATAATGTGAGATAATACAGCTCCAAATCCTGTTGGAGATGCATCTGTCGCGAGGGTTACTGGCAGGTCCTCATGAAATGGTGTAAGTACTTTTTGTCCACAGATTTCTTCTTTCAATTTATTAAATATTTCGTCACAGTCCTCTGACCAATTGAATTTTGTATTTTTCTCCAATAGTTTGTAAAGAGGGTTTAACTTCGATGCTAGATTTGGAATAAACTGCTGATAATAATTTATCATTCCAAGGAATGTACGTAATGATGACACGTCTGTAGGGCGTGGACTACTTTTAATATCATGTATTTTATCTCCTGTAAACCATTTTCATCAATTGTATGTCCAAGGTAAGTAATAGATTTCTGAAAAAATTGACATTTCTTTTTGTTTAAATGTAAACCACATTCTTGTAATTTCTTAAAAACGGATGTCATTCTTTGTAATAATTGTATGTATGTATGTCCTTGTATGGCTATGTCATCAAAAAAACATGCTGTACCTTCTAATCCTTGTAGGGTCTGATCCATGTAGCGTTGCCAGATATTGGGTGCTACCTTGACACCGAACATTAGTCTTTTAACCTTTTAGGTGCCTTTGCAAGTACTGACTGCCTGCATCTCAGCTGTTTCTTCAATAGTCAACATATGTAAATAGGCTTGATTAATGTCTTGTGTACAAAAATATTTGCCATCGCTAAGCTTTGCAAATATTTCTTCAATTCTTGGAATAGGATAATGGTCGTGTTCTATATTTTTATTTAAAGTTGCTCTATAATCTGCACATGAACGAACTTTTCCATTTTGTTTCATTACTGGTACAATTGGCGTACCCCACTGCGCGTAAGTACCTTTTTCCAAAATACCTGCTTTTTCTAATCTGTCTATTTCCTCTTCTACTTGACTTTTCAGTGCGAATGGCACGGGGAGTGGTTTTAAAAATACTGGTACTGTTCCCTCTTTTAACTTGAATGAAGCTTGATAATTTTTTATTCTTCCAATTTCTTCTGTAAATAACTGTTTGTATTCTTCTAATTAAACTTGTAATTTTACTTTGAATTCTTTTTCTGTAATATCATTCTTTTCTTCTGCAATAGAATTGATTTCGAATTGAAAATCAAGTGCTCGTAGCCACTCCCTTCCAACTACGGGTTCTACTTAGTTATTTATTACAAACATTCTTCCGTGTGTTTCTTTGTTATTGTATTTTATAGCTAAATTGCAAGTTCCTATTGGTTTCATTATTTCCCCTGTGTATGTACGTAACTTGACCGGAGTGCTGGTTAATTTCATTTTTGGAAAATGTTTGTAAAAGTAGTCAGCAAAGCATGTTGTAACAGCGGCCCCTGTGTCCAATTCTAGGTTATGTTCCCTTCCATTCAATATTAACGTTATATAAAATTTGTCATTCTGTGTATTGTGACCACTCTTTACAGGAATCTTGTGTATTTCATATATTTCTTGTATTCTTATTTAAATTCACTTGACTCCAGAATAGTTCGTGTGTTCAATGAAAGTCCAAAATAAAATAGGTAAAACTTTGTGTTTATATTTTTCTAAGAAATACACAATTCACAACTAATCTAAAATATTACTGGTTAACACCAAAGCTGGGAGACGACTGGCGTGCTAACGCTATAGGGTCGCAGGCGTAGCTACGCACTTGAGAACACATAAAAAATGTCAACACGTTAGTGTCGCTACAGTTTGCTTTACCGCAACAAAAACATGTGATATCTGCATTGCCTTTTTTTTTTTTTAGGGGGAAAATCATATCATCCAATGACTTCTCCCGCCCCGGTGAGGCCGGAGGGAGTGTCAGACTCTTACTGACTAAAAACCACCCCCCCGTTCCTATTCCTGCACTTCGAGCCGGAGCCCCGGCAACCCGTTAAGTCTTCCGCGGCATATCTGCATTGCCTTCAGCACTATTTTTGTATGTTGTTTTGTTATTTGTATTTTTCTTGTATTTATTCAATTTGTATTTATTGGTTGTATTTCCTGTACCATTTCCTTAGTTTCAGATTTGGATGTCTGTATTGCCAATGCAATTTTTATAAGGTCATCAAATTTCGCATCTGGTGATTCTTGGAGAAGCCGTTCTTTGATTTCTGAATTTCTTAAACCTCTTAAAAGACATGTGGACCAAATTATAAAAACTTCGTGCATGTCTTATAATGCGGAACCAGGGACTTATCGAATTCACCATAAGAGTCACCAAGAAACCATACCTACGGAAAACCTGAAGGCCGACTAGAGGCAAAGAATGGACAACCGTGTCCAGTTAAAACGACAGAGATACACCTAGTACAAAGCCCCGCGAAACGGAACTCCCGAAAGTCTTACGAAGGAGCAACAGTTGACCGACCAGCATAGAGAGCCAGAACCGGTGGAACTCACACTATCACATATAACAGCAGAAACACACCAGGAGACAATACCACGTCGCTCGGAGAGAATAAGAAGAAAGCCAGATCGACTGAACCTATAACGCAAGGAATAGTTAACGCAGGGGAGACTGTTAGAATGTTTCTGAACGATGAACGTTTCTAAACGTAATCAGTGCGCCACCTATGGGAGTATGAGAGAAACATTCTTTTTGGGTCTTATGTCATGAACGAAATTGCGCACTCATATTATTGTGATTCTTAACTCGTTTATAAATATATACCTACATTTATCTTGTGCCTAATAAATAAAACTACATTATTTAATTGTGCATTCTTTATACTACGAGTACAGCATACATAACATTTAATCACTAAACGAAATGTTAGATTCATAAAACGATGCCATCTGGTGGCGAAACGGAGTTCGCCGGGTTTGCTAGTATACTATAAGAATGGCGCAGTTATCGACCTGCCTATGACTAACAACACGATACAAGCTGTGTAATATATAGCTATCTTTTTCGCACTCGCGCGTTTATTAACATTTTTAACACTTACTACAGTTTCCATTCCACTCAGTTAAGGTCGTTTTCGGGCAACTGAGGTTTTGTGACGTAAAATATTTTTTTATTATAATTTTATTAAACTAGTTCAAGATCACAGTGAAGACAGTATTTATTAAACTTTATCAAGTCATATTACTGGACTCAGCTCAATTGATTGGACAGCAGACACAAAGTTGGCATCTAAACGTTAGGATTTCTACTAATTGGCGCTGTCTACAAGGAAAAAGGTCGGTTACTCGTCGAGTACCGGTTTTGTAGACACAATTATAGAACAATAGGTTGCGGTCACCGGTGACCGCTTGGTGTTTGACAGTTTAATGTACATACATAGTTTGTTTTTAAGTACTTACCTAAATAATAGTATTTATATATGATTAACAGTATAACTTAATGGCGTAAGCTGTAGTGTTATATATGTAGGTTTCCTAAATAAATAAATTATTTATTTATTTAGTTATTTTATTTATTAACACTTCTGTATATTAAACATACGATGGCGGACTTAATGCCGGGTGGCATTCTCTAACAGTCACACAAAACACAACGCAAGCGTTGCTTCACGTCGGTCTTCTGCTCGGCCGTGGTATCACTCCGGTCGAGCCGGCCCATTCGTGCCGAAGCATGGCTCTCCCACACTTTCTCATGACTCGCCAATGAGCAGTCACCTCTAAAAGTCTCCGGTGAGACTTTGCGAGAATTATCGATTAATCGAACTGGACTGATAGATATCGCCACTGAAAAAAAATTATTCACGGATTCACAGCAGCGGCTCAAAGAACTATCTCTGAATGTTGATGAGTTTCTATTTTAATTTATAAACATAGGGTAATTCGATATGGTTTGAGTACTTAAAACTATTTTATTTTTTCTTACAGATTCATTTACAGACGCAAGAAACTATATCAAGATACTGAATAAAATATTTGATTAGGAGCAGAGCAGCACGAAAATGTTCGAAGGTATCTATTGTTTAGTTGACATTTAACAGTATTTCTATTAATTAGGTCACTAATAGTTAAAAAATGCATTCCAGATGGAACTCCAAACAGTGATGCGGAACCAATGAGTGAAGAAATACCAATGCAACCAGACTTGAGTAAGGCCGGGGGAAGAATATGCCGCAAGAAAAGTCAAGTTGAATCCAACAATTCTCCTCCCCCCAAAGCCAAAAGATATTTTACAAGACAGTCACTTAGAATACCTTCATCAAGTAATAACAATAATACCGTTAGTTTGCCGAATGAAACTACGAAAAAGGATCTTCCGTCAACTAGCCATTGTGTTGAAAATAGCGATAAGACTAACAACAACCAAGAAAACGAACAATCAGCAAATAATAATTCAGAGCTAATGAGAAAATGGCAAATTATAACAGCTTTTAGGACTATGTTTGGTGATAACTTCAAAGAAATGTTGGAACAACTTCATAGTAAGTTTGAACACAACCAATTAGTGTTGGAGAAAATGCAGCTTGCATTTAAGGAAAATTGTAGGATCATAAAAACGTTTATTGAGCTAACGGATGAAGCCATGAATGCTCTTTCTAATAGTGATCTTGATTCTGCAGTGAAAGAATTAGAAAATAGTATGATGGAAGTAAATATAAATAAAAACAATTCAGATAAACCAACCGAATCAAAAGTACAAAATGACACTCGAAAAGAAGAGAAGAAACACAGCATTGACAATACAGAAGCTAAAAAGAATAATCCACTGAATAAGATCCGTGGCCAATCGCGTAAATTTACTTTACCACCAGAGTACGATCCGAATGACTCAAGATGGACCTTAAAGCATCGGGAAATGAAAAGTGGTCTCGTTGAACTCCTACCATATTCACGGATATACATTGACGCCATTCAACTAAGCCATTGTAAAATAACCTCGAAAAACAGCAAGACCCTTGCACGAACATTGTTACTACAAATTTTTACCGAGAACGCATTGAGTGTATGTTCTCCAACTGGAAAAAAAGCCAATGCATTTGAGTCAGAGGGAACAAGTGTAAGGCCTGGTCTAGATCAACATGCAAGAACTGTTTTATTGAACTACATTAAAAAACATGCGGCTGAACAAAATTGGGTCGAAGTTGATTCGCAACTGATATCAAACACTATTCGTAACAAAATGCAAGAAATAAGAGGATGAAAGTAAATTTAAAACATATATTAAGCGCGAATTATGTAATCAAGCTTACTACACACTGACAGATTATCTTGAAGATAAGAATGCTTGGCAGCATGTTGGTTCGGCTCCACTGGACAATACTCAAATGTAGTCAGTAGTTAAATTCCAATAGTAGGTAATATAATACATAATTTAATACTTTAACTCGTCGAGTACCGGTTTTGTATACACAATTATAGAACAATAGGTTGCGGTCACCGGTGACCGCTTGGTGTTTGACAGTTTAATTCTAATGTAGACAATCTAGTTTCCTTATGGCATCGAGCATTTCTTTCTTTATTGAAACAAAGAGTTTCCTTTTTCTTGTATAGAAGCACTATTTCTATGGATTGTCAGTATGCATATGTGAGCACCATGTTGGACTTAAGATCTTTATTATTTTTATTTTTATTTTAGTAAGTTAATAGTATAATGCGTCAAGCGTGTCTTTGCATTGTTCTTACATATGCGTACAGTATTGAAATATGTATCAGAGACATTGTAGAACATACTTTTTTAAAAGAGTAACGAATGGAGTTTCTTGCTCGTTCTTCTCCATTCGAATCTACGTTTTGGAATGAGCACCTAGCTTCACCTAGCTTCACTGACGGACTGACTGACAGACTATTATTTATTTTGTATTTGTTGACGTTTCAAAAGTACCAAACTATGGTTTAATTGAAATAAATGCTTTGACTTTGACTTTGACTTTGTAAACATCAAAATATTGTCGAAAAATAATTAGACTGTTGTTATTATTGGTGTTATCAAAGTATGCGTATAATGATATAGTTATCTAATGAGTTTTATTTTTCCTCCTTACTTTCCCACCTATCTATGAAAATATATATAATATATAAATATAATATATCCTGGTAATAGTTAAATTGACTGATAGTGAACAAAAGGAAATCAAGCTCTATAAAACGATGTCCTATAAATCGTATATGAATGTAAATTTATTACATTGAATGTTCAAACATCGTAAAATGTATCTGACGTTTATCTATACTACAACATTTAAGCACATAATTAGGCGAAGGTCAATATTAACATCTGCAAAACGTCAATTGATTACGTTCTTGTATCAGTAGACATTATTAAACTCGATAAACAAAAATGTGTCATCTAAACAGATAAATATTACTATGAATGTATTACTAGTACCTAAAACCGATGATCGTATGTATTAATATATGTAGGTATGTTTTAAATTTGCTTTCATTATGATCTAGTATGGTACTTGGTATTTTACCCTGTACCTGTTTCTGTACCCTGGACAGTCTAAATTGCGGTACAGCTAACTTATTTTTGCCTGTCTATCGCTTCTTTTTTTCCTTACATACATTATATTTTCATATTGTATTGACAGGGCACCGTTAAGATTGATATTTAACAATTCTCTCAGCGATTCGCAACGGCATAAGCTATGTATTGCTCGGATAGCTCGTTTATGAAGTATAAAAATTGATTCTATTTCTGCAGCTCGACCCACAGCAAAATGCCATACGACAATATAATGCTCTGAAAGTAACTAAAATAGACCAGTATTGCCGTATCCACGTCCGTGAGCTGTTTAATCTGTCTAACTGCAAAAGCAGCTGAGCTCAATCTCCCTCCTCGAAAGCGCTTTTATATGCGGGCCCCATTGTAGTCTATTGTCTAATGTAATGCCTAAAAATACCGTCTCGTCGACAAATTCTAACTTTTGGCCGTTTAAAACAACATCACAATCATTACTTCGGACGTTTGGTAAACTAAATTTAATACATTTGGTTTTTTTCTCATTAAGCGCTAAGTTATTAATGGTGAACCAACTATGCATTCGAAGAATGTAGCTGTTTACGTCGTCACCCTTCATAATGGGCTTATTATGTCTCACACTACAGCACCAAAGTGCTCCCTAAAAGCCTCCGCTATGCTTTTGTGATCAACATAACGACCTACACCCATCGGAAAGCTAGGCCTAACATTCAATCCGTTGGTATGCTTCCAAAAACTTTTAAAAACCTTAGTAGAGTAGTCGATTGCAAGGAGGTCCATCCTAAAGATTAAAGATATATTCATTTAGTAAAACATGAGTAATTACAATGAAGGTGTTTTTTGGTTAGTACAGAGTCTACATGTTTTGCCATATATGGCGTACTAAATTATTGTTCTTGTCATTTCAATTTTACCTTATAATGTCTCCTCGCCTCCGCCATCTCATTAAAGATTGACCATTCTCGACCATTGGCTGGACAGCCAAGTTCCACAATTAAAATGTAAGCCACGATTTCCAATGTGATTCCGCTACGTACTTATTTCACCCAATGACATAACCTCCCTTACTGTAATACTTTTTTTTATGGCATAAGCCGGTAAACGAGCAGACGGATCACCTGATGGTAAGCAATCAGCGTCACCCATGGACACCCGGAACACCAGAGGCGTTACAAGTGCGTTACCGGTTTTTGGGGCATTAGGAGTTTGAGGATCGTTGGGGATTCAGGGATTGGGGAGATTGGGGAAGGGGAGGGTAATTGGGCCTCCGCTAACCTCACTCACACGACGAAACACAACGCAAGCGTTACTTCACGTCTTTTTTTATGGAATAGGAGGCAAACGAGCAGACGAATCACCTTTTTACTGTTTGTATGGCCGCGCAAGACAACGTACCTACTAGTAATTTGTTCATACAATTTATCAAGAACTGAGCGATGATCTTTGTTACTGCAAAAATCGTCACAACATTCACTCAACGCCTGCGGAAAATCTACCAAGCGTAATTTCGAATGACAAATAGCATGGTATTTATTAATCTGCTGTTTCCGTCTCTCACAACACGATTTACAGGTTCATCCTTCACCAAATTATTTATTAATTTTTTTGATATTGAATGGACTAAATGGTATTGAATTTGTCTTTAAATTCTGTACTCTGAATGCTATTTCAACAGCTACGATAGGGCCTGTATAGTTTTGACATCGAATAATTATTGAGATTTTATTGGATTGAAATTGCATTGACATTGAGATTGAATTCAAGAGTAAGCACCCTGGTCTCCTGCCTGGCTATGGTCGTCCATATCTTCCAATATACTTATTGGGATATTTAGTGTTCAGCCACTCTCTGACACTTCTTCTGGCAACCATCCTGATGAAACCACATGTCATGAATGAGGTTTAATTGAATATCGTCGAGCAAATCAGATAGGTAATTTGTTAGTCGTTTCTGCGTCTTTCTTTCAAGTTTCCTCCGAGAATACCTACTAACTATACCCGAGCATATTATACCTTACCCGAATCCGTACCCTCATGCATGGGAAGTGGGCGTTTTAAATAACCTACGGGTCATCACGACACCGTTATCAATACGACGTACGACGACATATTTGATTAATACCTAAAACTACATACTAGTTTTTATTATTTTTTTGCATGTATATCTTGTAGTAAAATATCTTCTATTTCCTTTTTTTTTGGACAGAATGTGGTGGGGTATAGCGGCACCAGAATTACCTATCTGGTTTTTCATCATCACTAAAAAGGATACGCATATTTCATGGATCCTAGAAATGACATAAACAAAAAAAGAACGCTTTAATTATTTGGAATCAATAACGTGATTTTTTATTTCACTCTTGTCATGGGATTGCAAATGCAGTCCCCTGCACCTAGCTATAGGCACTCATGAGACATACATACACTATACAGACATGAGCCAACTACCTGGAAGCGTCATCTACTGAGTGCAAAAGTTACTAAAAAGAGAAATAAAAAAGCACAGGGCAAGGGGTCTCGGCTTCGATTCGCGGGTCGGGTAAAGTATTAATGGGTTTTAACAATCGCAGTAGTAGCACGGAGTTTGGAAATGGGCCCGGTATATAGCTAGTCTCACCCCCTATTACATGGGACTCATAACATAAAATGTGAAAAGTGGGTGTTACATTGTACAGTGGCATTAAGTGCCGTAATGTGCACCTCGCCTAGCCTACCCCTTCGTGATGTTATGTTAAAAAAAGCACACGATATTTTAGTTAAGTAACATTATGGGTATTTTAGTGTACAAAAAGGATAAAAAATAAAAAACAAGACATACATTTATTAATAATGATTTTATCTTTGAATATCAATTACACTTTTTTGTTTTATTGTTATTTTATAAACTTTACATATTCATTTCGTATTTTATATACCATATAATATATAAAGTTTCATTACTAATTATTTTAGCATTACATTATCTAATACAAAGGGACACAAAACGAAAAAATACTGCATTTTTTGTAACATAAACGTAAACGCCAGATCTTTTTGTAAATGTTAAACAATTTTTCGTTGTTTTTGTTTAAACCAGTACACAACACTTAATTTATTAACTAAAAGTTATGAAGAATAACATTTCAAAGTCACTCGATTTTTTTTTCAATAAAAAGGAACTCTTTACTTTAACTCTTCTTTCACTTTTTCACCCGTTTACTATACTTACTTCACAACCACATTACATATATTTTTTTATATAAAAAAAGGTTTAAAAAGATTCATTACTAGTTCAAAAGTAACTTCTAAATTGAGCAAAGTTTGAAGTGACAATAAAACGTTATTCGTCAACAATTATATTTCAATTTTTGCGTTTTACAAATTCTTTAAAGTCGTATTTTCGCGACTACATTGACGTTTCCTTAATTCTTGATTTGTCCAATTTAATAATTAAATTATCAACAACAATACATGCTTAAATAAATATTAAATGAAACATGCTAAAACATGGCTAACTTAAATGGCGATCACTTCTCGAGTTTTTTTCATTGTATCTAAATACAATAATACATCGCAGAAAAATACAAATAAAAAACAACAACTGTATCTGTACATCATTTTTACAATATTAAATATAATTAAAACTATGTTTTAAATATACATTTTCAATGAACTGTCACAAACATTTCTTGGATAAAAAAAATGGGTTTACCTAACGTGAATAATCAGCAATAGCTTAAATTATAGCTTAGCTTAAGTTTAGGTCATCTGATTGGAGAACGTGACTTAGAATTC